CCCCCCATCCGCGCCGCCGCCGGATCGCCTGCTCTGGCCTCGCCGGCAGGCAGGCGCAGGTAGCCGCGCGCCGAGACGGCGCGCTCCCCGGCGTGGCTGAGGTGGGCTCGGCGGCCGAGGTTTTTTTTTCCTCGGGGGAGGAGGAGGGGGCGGCCGGGGGTCGGCCCCACGGCGTCGGGGCAGCGGGCGACCCTCGCCTCTCGGTGCTGCCGGGGGAGCCCCGGCGGTGGGCTTAGGCCGCTGGGGCCTGGCCCGGGGCTACCGCCCTCGCCGTGAGGGGCCGCCCTGGGCCGCCCTCACCGCCCGCTGGTTTCGTCTAGGCCATGGCAAAGGCCGTCTGCGTAAACGGGCACAAAAGGCCCGCCGGTGCCGGCGAGGAGGCGGGCGGACGGCAGGCAGCTCGGAAGAGGAGGAAGGCGGATGGCGGCCGCGGCCCGGAGGTGAGCAGCGAGGCCGGGCCCGGCGCCCGGGGCAGGGGGGTTGTGAGGGAAGGGCCGCAGGGCTGCGGCCGCGCGGTGGGCCTCGCTTACAGCCACCTCTTCGGGGGGGTTATTGCGGGAAAGTCGGCAAAAACGTGGTTTACTGGCAGTCTGGCTAGGGGGTTGGCTAAAGAGAGCGCCTGCGAGCAGTGGCTTAGGTTCTGCTCCGAGAAATGTGGAAAGGAACTCGTTCGGAGCGCTAGGCGCTTCCATTTAAGGAACCCTGTTGAAATATAAATACACTCTCCAATACGGCTTTTTTCCTAAACAAAGCAGATCGTGAAAGGAGCCTTGTGTCTCCTCAGCACATTCACACACCTGAAGGGTGCAGAGTTTCAACCTCATGGTAACACCTTCCTCACCCAGGTTACAGCTCACTTGGTGCCTAGTATGGGAGAAGAGCAAGCATGTCTGACCTGTGAGATCGGTTTTATTTGTACCTGATTAGCGACTGAAATCCCTGTGGTTGGCAGGTAGCCTTTGCTTGGTGAAACGAAACTTCTGCTCTTTGGTTGGGTTTTTTTGGCAAAGCTCTCATTAGGCTGTATTGAAAACAACAGTGACATGACTTATTTGTCTAACTTGGCAAGAGAGATGAGGGACTAGCAATTTCACCTGGTAATAGTAACACAGGGTAGTGTTTCTTAACTGCTTGAACCTCAAAGGCTGTCACCTCTGTTTAGCTTTCTTACCCAATGACAAATGGCTTTGGAAGTGCATCAGCTCAATGCCACGTGGGCAAGCTCTGTCAAAATTAATGAGGACAAGGCTTGTCAGTGTGGTGGGGAAAACACAACTTCTGGTAGTTGTTTATCCTGTGGGATTTGATATTCTGTAGTATTCTGTGGTCTTTTTTTCTCTTCCCCTGTATGCCGTGATGTTTTCTCATCACATAAAAAAAGAGTATCTTTAAAATTTTTACAGGCCAAAGGAGCTCCATTGGAACAGGCCATATGGTCAGTGGAGGACTCCAAAATCATGCATTCACTTACTGATTAGCTTTTAGGAGAATTTGTGCATTTAGGCTTAAAGAACTGTTGTGTTGAACTGTGTGGTACAGTCTCCACTCCATCTCGTCTACTCGATGCTTTCTCTCTGCAGGTTCTTTGGATTTTATGGAAACATTTTTTTTCCTGCAGGGGTCAGCAAACCCATCCGCCAAAACAGATCACATAATGTAAATGAAGCAAATGGGTTTCAGCAAAACCTTACATGAAGTGGCTGCATAGAACACTTGTATAAATGCCCAAAGCTCTACAGCAGCAAGTGGGTGAATGGGTGGAGAGAGGAGAACATCGTGTTTGCGAATCAAATAGCTTTAAGTCTCCTTAGTACATATATCTACTTACATTAATCTTTATTAAATAAATCTTTGAAGTTAGAGTACCTGGGTTACTGAAATATTGATAGTAAATTTAATATTAAAGTGTGATCTGAAAGGAAACTTTTGCCCATAATAAGTGGAAGAGTTATTTCAAATGTAGCTGATTGTGTCCAAATAGTTCACTTCATTTTCCATGAACTTGTGTGATTACATAAAACCTTCCTTTACTAGTGTTTCCCTTTTTACAGGAAAAGTCATCTCACTTGTCAGCAGCTTTATTTGGTGAGGACTGCGAAATCAGCCATGACCAGCTGTATGAGTTGTTAAAGTATGCAGCTTTGGGAAAATGCCACAATGCAACACAACCCAGGTATAACACATTCATATTCAGGAGTCAACCCTGTCTTGTGTCCTCACACGTTGTGAAAGGCATACCTAAAGGTATATTGGGCATGCTGGTTTTGGAATCCTTGCAATGCGGTTACCATAATGACAGCCTGTATTATGTAGATGCAGTTGTTGTTAGACTTGGCCAGAGACCAGAATTCCTCTTCTGACAAAAATTGTACCGTTTCATGGTTTTGTTTCATGCAGTTATCAAAAACTAAACAGTACTGTGGAACCGAAGAAACAAAATACCAGGTTAAAAATATGAACACGACACAAAAAAATACTAACACATTTCACATCAGATATAATTGAAACAGAGTGTTCTAGAGTGTTTTGGGAAAAATATTTTAATCACTTTGCCCTTTTTCAGGGCAACTTTTCAGCAATGGAAGGGAAAGGCTGAGGAGGGTATATAACCTCACGTGGGAAAAATATGATGAAATGTAATGAATCTTGAAATGAAACTTAAGGCAAAAATGATCCCAGTTTAGATTTTTAGTAGTGAATAGAAAATGATTTTCTGAAACTTTTTTTGATGCATTAATTCGCTAGACTGCATCACTGCAGCTGAAGTTACTCGTGTGTTCATATGCTGATGCATATAAATGAGGTAGAAATGTCTTGAAATGGTACTGCAGCAGAATTTTGCTATAACTCATTCTTTCTCTGTCTCCCATATTCTGTTGCTTCCAGGAATATGTGGCTTTTTGAGATAAGCCATAAAGCCTTTTCTCACTGAAGTAATTTGGCACTTTGCTGTTCACTGACTTAAAAGCCGGGCTGGTTCCAAGTTTGTTTTTAAGAGTGCTTTGATTTTTTTTTTTTTTTTTTTTTTTTACTGCAGCTGGTGCCGTATTTATCACCAAAGACACCTGGCTGGGGTTGTGGTTATTGTTCTACATGAAATGAGCCAACTCCATTTCTACAAATTCTATTTGCAGTTCAAACACCTCAGAAAAGTGTTCCGGCATGTAAGTCCCCAGACAGTATTGCTGTCTTCTAAACTTCTTCCAGTCCTGAAACCACGTCCCAAGGATTAATTGCAGCAGTGAAATGACTGCCTTTTCCAATAGGAAGTGGCCATCTTTGACTCACAAAGCAAGCTTATGAGAGGATCTATTTGTAGCCATTGTCAGCTCAGAACAAAGGCCAAGGCTTTGATATTAGAAACAGGTTTTCAAGACTTGATGTCTTTGAAGCCTTACAAGGTGAAAAGTGTATTGATGTTTCAGTCGTCTGACTATTATGCTTCCTGCATCTTCAGGATGCCAATGAGATTAAAAATATCTCGATTAATTTGGAATGTACTCTGAGTGAGTGAGGAGACTCTCCAATAGAGTTATGCTATCCCACTAGCTGAAAAATCTCACTTTGACTATTTGCACTTTATGTCAAGTTTCTCCCATTTCCCAAAAAGATTATGAAAAGAATTATTTTAATTTTCTGAGTTAGAAGCAATGTTTTTGAAGGAAGACTTCTAGAGAATTCTCCATGAACTGCAGCAAATGCAAATCTCAACTTAACTGGAAAGTCTGGAACTTGTTTTAGTTTCTATCAAAGAAGGTCTTGAGATTTGCCTTCTTGATCATATCAAGCAAGGCAAATCTGTCCCTTAGTACAAAGAATCCTGTATCGTCTGTCATTAAAACAGGTTTGGTTTGTGCTGAGTTTTTTTTTCTTCCTTGGGAAAACACCAAACATATTTCCACTACTTCTTTATCCATCCTCCTCTAAATTTGGCTGGTTTGGGGATCAAGAAACATCTCATTTGCTTCATATTCCTGCTTCTGTTTCAAAGTCTCTAACACATCTCTTTTTTTCAGAGATTCACATTAACACCTTGGGCTAACTTCCTAGCCAGCCTGTATGGAGAAGCAGCAAACCTGAAACCTCAAAACACTGCACAAGGTATCTTGTTTGGGTTTGCGTCATCTGTTTCAACCACAGTGATTCACTTCCAACAGTAATTTACGACTTTGCATCCTGTGCAATCCCAGTGTTTTGCTACGGTAAACTTGTTTACAAAGGAAAACGTACAGTGGCTTAAAACGTGAGACTAGTTACCCTAACTAGTTCAGTAACTCTCTGTTGGGCTTATTGTCACAAGTAAATGCAAAAAGCAGAGAGAAAGTTTTTAACATGCTTAATCCAAAATTCTGATGCTTCATTACCCATTTTGTGATTATTCTATTCTAAGATGTATCTAATAAAAGATACAGGGATATAAATCAGATTAAAGCTAAGTAGTTACTCATTTCTTAGTTTTCAGTGTTATATTGAGTAGCAAATCAAGGTAAAGCATGGGTGTGTTGACGACTGATTTCCTATTTTTACACTCTTTATAGAGGTGATTGTAATCCAACAGGCTTGTACAAAACCTGCAAGAGACTACAATGCGAACTTCACTGAAATTGTTAGAAGTATAACAAAGAATCTTGAATTCAAGTCCTAAATGGGAGAATGAACAGCTATTACTTTCAATGTATTGACAAAGTCCTCTAGCATCCTGACTGTAAACCTACTGCACAGTCACAGATCTGAGATGTCAGGTATACTTTTCTTTTAAGTGCCATCTGCAGAGAGTCACCTACAGGATAATTTAACTTTATACAGCTGTGGATTCTGGTGTCAGTTCAGTGCTTGCATCCTTGTGAGCCACACCTAGAGCACATTTTCTCCTGATAATACTTACAGGAAAGAATTTCACAGAGAAGGTAGAAAAAAAAAAAAGATAACTTCTACAGCTTACATGAAGTAACAAATGATTATGTTGTCATGCTTATAAGGCAAGTTTGTTCTCTCTATTTCTGAAAGGAATGTGAGACAGAGACACATTGTGATGTGACTTGCTTGTGAATCAGCCAGCAGTGTCAGTAGCTGAATGAGAAAAGATTCAAGTATCCTGAATATCAAGTATATTTTGTACACTGTATACATTACATAGAGTGTATATATATAATTATATATATAATGTATATAGTGTGTCTATATATATACACAATAGATGAGAGATAAACTGGAGATCTCTCTCTATATATGTATATATATGAATGGGGGGGAGAGAGAGAGAGATACAAATAAACTGGAGATAGACAGATAGATCGTTTGTCTGTCTGTCTGTCTGTCTATATCTCCAGTTTATTGGTCCAGGTAGTGTTTTCCTTTGAAATGGTGTGGCCTCTTAGTGTGCATACTAATGCAGAAAACTGACTGCAAGTAGGGAGTACTGTCTGAGCTTGACAGATGCTTCTGTATTTTACAGGTTTGACTTCCACTAGCAGTCAGTGTATTCCTAAAAGCTCAGACTTGCAATGTGATCCCATCATTCGGAAATATGGAGAAAAAAAGCGAGGCCTTACTAGCTATACTCTAACTTTAGAAGAGCAGAAAAAAAATGATTATCCCATAAAAGGTCAGTTTTTGAGGGCTTTTGTTGTTCTGGGTTGTGTTGTTCTGGGTTTTTTGGTTTTTTGTTGTTTTTTTTTTTTTTAATTTATTTTGACAGTTAGTGATATGTTTGGTCATATAAGATATGTGATGAGTTTTAGAGTAGAGAGGTCTGTTTCTTATTCATGGGTCTCTTCATTCTAGGCTCCCCTGGATGTAAGGGCTATATATATACAGAGTGTGATCAGCAGAGGACGGACAGCAGCCCCCTCTTTGGTCTGGATTGTGAAATGGTAAAAATAAATGTGTGTGCCCTTGTAAAATATAGTCAAGCAACCAGACTCCTACCAGCTATTCCAAAGTGAGCCAAGCACCCTGTGTATTTACTAAACCACTTATGACATATTAACATCTGCTGCCAGTCCCTTCATTGATGGTACCAATGCTAGTGCAGCCATGGGAAGGACTCAGGAAGTGGTTCTGGCAACAAGACAGAAATACTACCTTGAGCAGGGCAGCAGAGACCTCAGTTCTGCATTGGCTGTCGGAGCAGCAGCTGGATCTGCCAGGCTCATCAGGAATGCTGCAGTAACCCTTGAGACTGCTGTGGAATTCCTCCTCCCAGCCCTCCCCAAGGTTTGGGAAAGAAAAGATGCTTCCCTATCACACATCTTTCCTTTAGCCATCAGTTCTTCTGGCAGCATGCTGCTCCTTTAGTGCAGTTTTGACCTTGCGGAGATGCCTATTTGGCATCAGCGTTGAGTAACTAATGATACAACCTGGGCTCTGCTTTTAAATTTTACATCTTCTCTGGTGAAGATGCTCAGTGACAGCTCTGCAGTGCAGAGCACAGACTGATTCTGTGAAATCAGCACTTCTTTATAATGGTTTTCTTTGTGTTGTGCTTGCCTGTGTGTTTGCTGTGCTTATGGTGGGCATTTAACAATTAAAATGAAGCATGCTACAGTATAAAACAACTAGATATGAGTGGTAGATCTGTAAGTTGAGGAACTCCTTAGTAGTGATGCTGGCTGCAGGCAAATCGGATGTTAGCTGAGGTTTTTGAGTGGGAGCATCATGCTGATTGAACAACTGCCTCTGCTTCTTCCTGATAGTGCCTGACTGCAAAAGGAAACGAAGTCACTCGTGTCTCTTTGGTGGATGCACAGGGTCAGTGCCTCTTGAATGAACTAGTCAAACCTGAAAGCACAGTACTGAACTACCGCACCAGGTGACTTCCACATAAGTTTCTTATCTCTTCGTCTTCAAGAGCTGCAACCCTTTCAGATTAAGCCTGTTACACAGGAGCTTTCAGAAGGCTTTGGTTTGCACAGATGCCTATTGCATTTCACTCAGTGTTAAGAATACAGTTCTTGCTGTGTGATTAACATAACCAACATTATGTATACACTCTTTGCTACAGAGTGCCCATGTGGCTACTAGGCAGAAGCTTTACCATTCTGCAGTGTTCTAGGAAAAGTTCTGTTACAAATTAATGATACACAGTACAAGTTAGTCTTTATTGCTGGCTATAAAATAAGAGGGAGGGTGAGTGCAGGATTGCAGTCTGTGTCTCTCTGCTCCATAGCCAAATCTGCTGATCTGTAAAAAATGAACAGAGCAGCTCATCAGCTTGTGGGCTGGGCTCAGTATTATAACAAAAGCAGGCAAAACTCAAGCCTTGTCTTCTCCAAAACTTTGCCCGGCTTTATGTAGGAGGGGACGTGCCAATCCCCTCAGGTTACTTAGAAGCATCTCCTTCCACCATCAGTCTTGCAGTATTTCCTTACCTGTGCTATCTGATGCCAAGAACTGTATCACTTAAGAATAAGTTATACTTGAGAAACTTTTGAAACAGATGTGGTAGCACTCATAGCAGTTTAATACACCTGCAGTATATCCTCTTACAGTAAATAGCATTCTGTCATTAGTTACACTGAATTCATATTTTACATTCTCTGCTTGTAATATTCTCCAGTAGGTGCTGTTGCTAATGTGTTGCTTTTACCTCATCCAACTTCTGTTTTGAAGATTCTCAGGAATCACAAAGAAAATGCTTCTTCCAGTGAAAACAAGACTGTCAGACATCCAAACCAGACTAAAAAAAATCCTTCCCCATGATGCAGTATTGGTGGGTCATTCTCTAAATGCTGATCTTCAGGCTTTGGAAGTGAGTATGCTTTTAAGAGTATTTTTCCCAAGCCTGTGATACTCATTTCAGACCTAGAAACTCTAAACAATTCCTTTTTTTATTAGTGAACACTTGTTAATTGCTTTTTATTATGAATTGCCTTATGTCTGTAAGGATTTGAAAGGGAAAGACTCTCCTTACATCTATAAAACTTGCGAGGGGCTGTTCAGAACCCAAAAGGAAGGAAGTAGCGTGTCCAGACACAGATATGGTTGCAACGTCTCTACTTCAGCCAGATGCTTCTGATAGCTCTGTCATGGGAAGAACTGAAGTCCTTCCTGTATTTAATTTAACCAACCTAAAATGCTTGAATCATAATTAATCTTTCTAACCCAATCTAGGTCTTCCGAATAGAGTGTTAGAAAGGAGAGTTGGGCTTGTTTCATTATTCCCATCTGCTCTCTTGTTGTGGACCAGTTATCTATCGTGTGAAACTGGCAACTGAAGTGAGAAGGCAGAGACACATAACAATGGGATTACTGCCCAATTCTATATGACTGCCGCTCATAAATTAAACTGGTGATGTTTTCTCTCTTCCAGATGATCCACCCCAGTGTTATTGATACTTCATTGCTTTTTGCCAGAAATGAAGGTCGAAGATTTAAGCTAAAATTTCTAGCCAAAGTTGTTTTAGGGTAAGAATATTACTGTATTATCATAGGAAATATTAGAAACTGTCACGGTGGGTTATAGGATCTTGCTCTTCCACTAGTAGCATCAGAATTTTTTTTATTTTTTTTTTAAACCAAAATTCAAAAGAAAGGAGCAGGCTGTGCAAATAGACACGGTAAAGAAGAATTTACTGCCTGCTTGAAACATCAGGCAGCATAATAAATTGGCTTGTCTTTGAGCAAGCAGAGACGCTGTGACCCAACCAGATTTGAGTCCTAGCAAAAGTAGCTTTTCTGCAGGTAGCAGTACCAGTGTATCAAATTGTAGAGCCACAAAGACACTCTGGCTCACACAAAAGAGATCTGTTGCAGTTAGGGAGAAAGCAAGGCTAATGTGTGAAAGAATGATTCACTGACTTAATCATATTCCTCAGTGTACTAGCTACCACTGGATAGTATGTCTTAGAGATACAGTTCTCACCATTCACATAGTGAATATTAATACTCTGCAGTGCCAAACTTCACTGAGTTGGGTCGTTGGTCAAGGAAGAAGTAAAATGAAAAATAGTCATGCATCAGAGTACTAAGTATTAGCACTGCTTCTGTCAAAGCCGGTAAATGGTGTTTTGCTCAACATTGCAAAAACATTTCTTGCAGTAACTTTTGGGAATATTTCACAAGAATGCTGCTACACAGAACTGAAATCCTTTTTGGAGAAGGGAAAGATATTTTGCCTGAAAAGGACCCAGTTTAGAAAAGACAGGATGTTGGTCAGTGTGGAAAAACAGATAACCTGCCTGTACACCTAATTTTGATGCCCTAGGAAGGAGATTCAGTGTGAACAGAAGCTTGGGCATGATCCTGCAGAAGATGCTAGAGCTGCATTGGAATTGGCTCAATTCTTTATTGAGCAAGGACCAGCAAAGGTAGCTATATCTAATTAAGATTTCTGTCCTTAATCACAGAACGTACAATTGTGCTTATGAAGGAAAAAAAACCACATTCCTGCCCATCCTCTTGTTGATTTAAAAGAGAAAATGGAGCTGTGATAGAGGCCTCAATTTTGACAGCTTATTACTTTCAGCATATATGCAGGTATCTTAATAGCCTGAGTATTGCCAGTGTTCCAGTACTCAAACACTGACATGAATCAGCATTGCTGCTGATCTTGAAGAATGGATTGGGTAGAGAAGGATTGAGACACTTCCAGCCTACGGGAATGCCTGTCATTTTTCCAGATGAAAGAAGTGAGAGACCTTGTATGTTGTGGTAGTGATTCAGCTGGTTTTATGAGTCTCTTGCTTGTGTCGTTGGTTTCCGAGAGAACTTTTTTTGGAGATGATTGCTGGTTGATGCTGCGAGTACTGCATGCTTGAAAATTACAACAGAAAATAATAAGACAAGAAATTAATGCCTGTTTTTCTTCACTACTCTGGAGTGTGCCTAGATGAGTCATAGAGAAAGCGTATGCTTTTTGGTTAGCTACAATTAGCTCAGATGAAAGCCAACTACTAATCTTTTTCCTTCCCCAAGGTAGCAGAACTAAACTTGGAGATGCTTCTGACAACTGAAAAACTGGCTGAGGTTTCACAGAAAAAAGCTGTGTTACAGCCACAAGGATGCAGGGTCCAGAAACAGTTGAATGAGCCTCCACATTTATCCAAACCATGGTAATAAGATTCTCAAATATGCATGTTTTTCCTTCTGTTGAATCCTCAGTAAAATCAAAGAAGTGCGTTATGTTTTTCAGAAGCCATCAGGGTCTTCAGAGACACCCAAATAATTGTAGCATAGCACTGAATAACTTTCAGAAGTTGCATCTTAAATTTCACAAAGCATTTTCTATGCTTCTTTTGATGTTGAGGACAAGAATATTCTTTCAGATTTCTTTAATGAACTGTATAATTTTTCTCTGACAAGCACTTCTTGAAAGCTTTTAATTCACCATATTGATAAGTACTGTGATTCACAGCTTTTCTCTCTCTGCTAGTTTTTTAGACTGCTTGCAGGTGACTGGCCAAAAACCCCTCCTTTTGGGCAGACAGGAAATGGACTCTTCTGGCCTGTGTCAGAGTAACCTGAGCACTTCAAACAAACAGGTGAATGGACTTAGAGTGGGTTGGTCTAAGCAAGCATCAAAGTAATATCAAAGTTCTTCTTGTTCTGGGGGTGGGTAGATGAGTCCTATTTTAAAAAGCTGACTGACAGTACTGTTAGCAATGGTGTTAATACCGCGTTAGCTAGATCCATTTTAACATTTTGGAAATAAGCTTTGATCCTCTACATCCTCTCATGACTCACTGAAGAAGAATTTCTGCCTGAGGGCTTCCTTGGACAATAATGAAAATTAAAGTTGAGAATTAAGTTCAATAGCTTTGTTTCTGATCCTTTGCAGTACAATTGTCTTGTACCTCTTTGAGCCTTGTACACTCTTTTCCCTCCAGATTCTTCAGAGGGCCTTAGAAGATGTTCCCCTGTCCACATTCAGTATCATTCAGTTCAGTTTGGGTCCAGAGTACCTTGCATCTCACCTTCTTGCTGGACTTTATGAAAAGGTACTATTTTTTTTGAAAATAGTCTTCATTGCTGAGCTTAGAAAGAGACATTATTTATCTGGAGGCACCAAGTAGTTAGTTCCTTTGCTTTGTGAAGTTCCTTCTCTAATCTGTGTTCCTACAGGTGAGAAGCAAGCTGACTGACATGCTGACAATTTATGCAGGTCCTTTTGAAGAAAGCTTTTGTCTGAAGTCTGTGAAAAAAGAATTTGGGAGATGTGGACCAATCCAGTCCCTTACAGTGGTAACTGAAACATACCAGGTGAGGAGGACTCAAAGCGTTAAGCTTGCTGACAGGCATGGAAGGCCCAAGTAGTCTCTTGGAAAGACATGGAGTAGAACCACTGAAATATCAGTTATTCTGTTTGGGTTTTTTTTCTGGTGGTTTAGTCATCAGCTACAACAATTCAGGGTATCTAAAAGCTGTTCCACACAATGACAAGAATAAACACAGCTCATGTGGCTTCACTGTGCTGTTCATGCTAAAGGGCTTTGAGCATTGGAGAAGCTGAGATTTTTTTGTCCCTCTCGAGAGAACTGATAAGCTAAGGCCTTTAATGGCAAAAAAAAAAGGTTGGTATTAATTGAGGAGCTAATTGAAGGTTGTTTTTTAACAGCTATGGTGTATGGAGTGTTACATATATTACCCTGAAACCTTTTTATATTCTATTTTTAAAAGAAAACACAACTTAATATATTGAGACCTGACTTTTTAAAAGGGAGGGCTAACGTGTCTTATTGATAAGCCTGAACTATCTTATTATTCTGTTTCAAGCCCTATGTCTGTATCCAATACGAAGTGCTGGAAGCTGCCCAGCTTGCTGTGGAAAGCTTAAATGGAGCTGAGGTAGCAGGATCCTGCATTAAGGTAAACAATGCAAACAGCAAAAGTCTAAGTTATGTTGAGCACAGGAACAGCATCCAATATGTCTCTCTTAACATCTACTTACAGCATAGCGTCTGGGTAAATGCTGGCTGGTTGTGCTGTTGCCATCTCCCTGTCCCTGGACAATTCAGAGCCACTGGCAGAAAGGAAATGGTTATAGCCCTCTTTTTTCCTTTCTGCCTGTCAGCAGAAGAGAGGTTAGAAAGCATTCTGACCTCCAACTGCAGCTTTAAAAGGAAGAGCCAAGTAACAGTGTGTTAAAATGCCATATACAAAGTATGGTGTTCTTAATTTTGTAGTGTTTCTGCATTACAAACATCTCTCTTCCTTTTTCATGATAATTAAGTTAGCCTTCATTAGTTGTATTTTTTTCAAGGGAGGAAAAATAGCCTGTCAACTTCGGTTAATAGGAGAAAATAATTTAAAATAGAAGCTCAGAACACAGCTGCTTGGGCTGAAGTGCTGTGTTTGTTCCTGCTGAATCCACCCAGGTCCAGAGACCCATCACTGCAGCAATGCTGGACTGTGATGTTTGGATAAAGGAACTAGAACTGGACGTAGAAAATGAAGGTGTGATTTATGTGGCGGGTCTAAAGGAGTCATTAACAGAGACGGACTTGCAAGAAGAATTCAGCCAGCTGAAAGACCTGGAAACACTGTTCCTGCCAAAGGATCTCCAGAGTGGAAAGCACAGGAACTGCTGTTTCCTCAGTAAGTAGCTTCACATACAGCCTGCTTATTTCCTTCAAATAAGCTTATTTAGCAGCCCTTGGGACTTTGCGCAGACACAGCAAGAGCTACTGAAACTCATGTATGCTCAAAGTGATGGTATTTAAAATACTCCAGTAAAAGTATGTATTGTTTGGTGGAGCAGTTTACAGCTAAATATTTAAAAGGAAAAAAAACTGCGTAAAAAAAAAAAATCTTTACTTAGAAAAGTTCCAGGATAGTTCATTGGCTCCAGTATCTCAACATGAGGACTGGCTACTGTGCAGCTTCACACAGACAAGTAACCACCTCTAAAAAGGTGAGGCAAACAACTGGATGAGTGCTGTTGCAGTCAATTGGCGTTTCTATAGTCTGATGTTTACCTGTAGCAAGATGACGATCTGCTTGCTGCAGTGATTTCAGTTTCTCATCTCCCTCCTGCTCCACACCTTTAGCCCTGCCCTACGTGTGCCAAGGAACAGGGGAGCAACATCACTGCCCAAGCATGTTCCCCTTCTCTTTGTGTTTCAGAATTCCAGAAATCACAGAGTGCTCTGGATGCCCTTGAAGTTATAAATGGATGGACTGTGAAGGGTAGCAAACTGAGAAGTAGGAACGCTCTTGCTTCAGGTCACCTCTGGAGATGGATTTGGCAAGTGAATCACAGCAATGGGAAGCAAGGAGGAAACATCTTACATGAGAAAATGGAGCAACTGTCTGACTCTGTGAGTTTAAGGCTAGGCTGATGTTCATCGCAGTTAGTGAGGACGTATTGCCCTGGGAACCAGGAGTGATAACTTTGAGCACTTAGGTGCAGAGCTGCATGTAACAGAAGGGTTTCCTTGTGCTGGAGCAGAGAGGCTGCCAAGGATCAGTTCCCACAAGGCAGTTTGGAGAGGTCATACCATGTGAGATAAGGTGATGTTTGCAGGGTACTCTATAACCTTAAAACCAGCATAGCTGCTCAGGGCAGCAAGTGATGCTACACAGGAACTGAAGCTTACCACCTGAGAGCAGACAGAGCAATGTACAGGTGTAGCAAGTGGTATGAGAGTCAGAGGGAGAGGTGACCAGTTGTGTAGCCGTACAGGAAAGACCAGCTCCAGTTGCAGCTCTCATTTTTACTGGAGGAGGCTGCAGTGCTATTTGAGTAGGGCATGTGGTTCTCCCTGCTGCTGTCCTCACCTGTTCAATCCCTGACACTGCCCAAGGGTCCGTCTTGCCACATTCACTTTTAAGTGTGATTGCTGCAGATCTGCAGATGAGTGGGGGATTGTAATGCTTATATTCTGTTATGCAGGAGCAGGATCTAAGGAAAAAGGTGAAGAAGTTAGACCACCATATCAAAAAGCTTTATAGAAGTCTCCAGAATAACACCCTGTGCATAGTTCTCTTCCCTGGAGTGAACAGGTAACTTGCCACCTATTTTGCAAAGAGCCAAAGAAAATATATAGCAAATTATTTTTATCTTAATCTATTAAAAATTAAAACCCTGCACAAGGAAGTGAAAGCCTGAGAGAAGGCCTGAACAAGCTGTTGTACTTATTCAGTCTGACTATCATGTTAGGCCAATAAAACCTCAACAGTAAGTTCTGCCCATAAGCCATGCCTGATCCAGAACAAGCACAAGTGCTGAAACCACTTACGTAGCTGATGGTCCAGATTAGCAAGGCTGAAGTACACAGTGTTGATTAATTATACAGGTCTTGTCAGTTCACCTACCTTCCCCTGTTGGATGTTTCATCCCTATTGAGAACAAGGTAAGTTTTATGTGCCCATGAGAAAATTGAGCAGAGTTTCTACAGCAGCCACTCTTTGGAGTGGTTTTGTTTGTTTGTTTTTAAAACTACCTAACTGCTGCAGCCAAGGCATCATCTACCAGTTGTTGTCTTGTGGTACCCTGATGTACGTGCTTCAGCCATAGCTGATCAAGGAGGTGGTTCATGCACTTGTTCTTATGTGAGGGACACAAGTGGAATAAACATTTTCACCAAGTGCTTAAGCTTTCATAGGAAGGAGCATGTCCGAGAGTTGAGCTGGGCTTCAGTGCTAATATCAGGGATGCTTCCAGATGGGGTGGGCTTCCTGCATTTCAGACCCTGGGGCCTGAACTGCCACAGTCACTCACTGCTTAATTATTAAACAGAAAGGTTAAATCTTTCCCAGGCAAGGCCCTAGTTACTGAGTACATAATTCAGCAGTCTTCTTTCTGTTCTCTCACTGTGTCACTGTTCAGACAGTCAAATAAAGGTCACATCTCCCCTTGCTTTTCTTCAGTTGCCCTTCAACAGATGGCGTACCATTCCTTGTGGAGACAGAAGACATGCCCTGAAATAGAAGCAGGAAAACAGAGCTGCTTGGCAGCATCTCTTCTGCCTGGCAGGGCAGCCAGGCCAGGTTCCCCTCTCTTGCTTGCAAAGCTTCCTGTGAGGAAGCATGATGCTGTATTATCCTCTGCACCAAACAGCGTCCCTAGAAGGGAGATGCATCCCAAGCCAAGCATATATTTAGGCTTAATGCCAGTGACAATCCGTTTCAGCAAAGTTGCATGCCAAGGGCTGCTCTTGGTGTGATTTGCTCTAACTGTCAATTTCTAACTTTTTAAAAAAATATATATATAATTTTTTAGGTTTTGGGGTTTGTTGTTTTTTTTTTTTAAATAATTTGTCTTCTTAAGTAAAGATCATTGAGCTGTTTTCCACCACACTAAAGAATGATAGCATATAAAATGAGACAGCAGCAATTCCTAATTAGAGAAGTGGTGGTTGCATGTAGCCATATGTAAATGGTTTCTTGCACAAGCTCAGTATCAAATACTGCCTTGGTTTAACTCAGCCATGGGGGAGTCCTGAACTGAGTGCTAACTTCTGCGGGCAGTTTAGTAGTGCATGTGGTCCTTTGATCATCGGCTCTTTCTTCTGGGCTATAATCAAGTCAGCTTTTACATTTCTGAGCAATTGTTTGCCTCTTCTCTACACCACTGTAGCACCTCAGTTACTTTGCATACTAACCTGTCAGCCCACTGGAGAGGTTTGAGGAGAGGACAGCTGTGGAGTTACAGTCCACACCGTCTGTCTTCTGCAGCAGATTCACTGGTGGTCTCAGTGGGTCCAAATTTACTTTTCAAGGGCCATCTCAAAGTAGCCTCACTTCATGCATGCCTGTTGTCTCACATCACCAAGGGCTATGAATTCCACTAGCAGACCAGGTGGATTCAGGAGTTTGCATCCACAAAGAGCCTATAGAAGCCCACAGAGCCTGGCTCACATCTCTCAGGCTGCTGAGTGGGTTGGAAGGGAGCTCCATCCTAGGCTTGGAAGAGGTTTCTTGCCAAGTGAGGTTTCTGTATTACTGTTTGCCGGAGGACTGACAGTCCAGAGGAGGCTTCTTGATTAAGAAGAATGCCAAATAATTGTTGGGTGCGGGGAGAAAAAAAACCAAACAAACCCAAAACACAAAAAAAACAGTTTTTCAGCCTGCTGACCCTGAAGGTTGCAGGCTTTGCACTACTAGACCAGCAAGCTTATGTGCATCAAGGCTACCCTGAGCAGAAATAACACACCTCTTGTTTCTGTTGCAGCATGCATGGATCACAATCTGGCCTTGGTCTGATGGGAATAAAAGATGATGGAGGGAGGAGTGCTTGTTAAACTGCCAAGTTTTTAAGCAAAGTCTTTTGTTAACATATTTTTAATTACTTTAAATATTGATGTCTTTGTAAAGATCTCTTACCATAAGAACAATAGGCTTTCACTCTGTATCTTTTACAAAGCCTAAAAATAAAAGCTATTCAAAACATCTTAAAGCACAAAACCTTTTCCATTAACCCATCTTGCTGTGGCAATTTTCCTTGGCAGTGGGTGAGCTAGGCAAGTGCTTAGGAAGAGCTGGGGGCAAACCAGGGGGAGTGTTGCATAAAAGCCGATCAGTATTGGCGAGTAAGATGTAACCTGGCAAGTCGTTCATTGCCGGAGACTGATGTACCAGCTGGGTTGTCTTCACTGAAACATTGCAGGCCATAAACCAGCAAGCCAAGTTAAGGTAGTACCTGCAGCAGCTGCTCAGCAGTTAAAAGCTGTTCTCAGGAATTGTTTGGATTTCTGGAAATGTGCTGTGCCAGCTCTGAAGCAGAGTCGTTGCCTCCTTTCTGGGAAAGTACAGTACTTAGTCCATGGAAAGGAGGAATTGGTGATTCATACTTCTTGGACAAACTCTACTTTCTCCTCCCTCCCTGATCCCCCCCACCCCACCCCTCACACACAAAAAAAGAAGAAACAAGAGAAGTTACAGTGTGGCTGTGGGAGGGGCAAGGGCCATTTTAAAGAAAGCACACCTCTCTGCGAACTTCATACATCATCGCTTTCAGCAGGGAGATGGAAGTGCAGTGTTGCACTAAGACTGCACTACCAGCAGTAGCACGAGGTCACTTGCAACCTGACAGCTTGCAGCTATTGCCACGTAAAATAAAGGCTGCTTGAGCATCTCTTGTTAATATATGGAATTTCCAAGCATGAGGATGCCTAGGAGAGCTTTCAGCACTCAGAAAAAAGAAAAAGTTTGTTACAAGGTTTGAATACGAGATGAAGGATTTCTTGATATGAATTAGAATAGGCTGAGATAAAGTTGAAATAGTTATTATTCCAGAAATTATTAAATACAGCTGATTGATTGATAGAATATTTACACCCTCCTACTTTCCAATCCCAAGTTCCCTGTGCTGGGAACTTGAGCAAAAAGCAGCTAGTGGCGTAGAAGTCGGGAGTTGCTGCGTGGAGGAGGCAGGCAAAAATATGGGCACAGGAGAGAAAGGCAAATGCAGCGCTAGCCCAGAGGCAGCACTAGTGGGCAGGTAGTAGATGCTCATGTCGGTGTTGTTCATACCTGAATTTAAAGCCTCCAAAACTCCTGAAATGAAACTGATTATTAAGATGAACACAGCCAATTTTTTTCTTTTAAAAGTACTCTACCCCCTCCAAGCGAGCCTGGCATCCTTTGGCTGTGGCTATTGCAAACTGGGATAAGCATCAACATCAGGGCTACTACAAAATGTGAAAGGGAGTCAGTCCCTTCACCCAGCACTGCCAGTCCCCACTGCTGACCCCAGCCCAGCAGAGACCACAGGGTCAGGCAGCTCAGTGGAAGGGGGTGAATGGCAGACTGACCTCAGCACTCATCCCTCTGTAAGAATACGCTCCTGTTAAGACTGTTCACATACAGCATCTCCCTGTTGTAGATGCTTGCACTGCAAAGGTGAAAAAAACCAGCTAGTTTTCATTCCACGCACTTAAAAATTATGTGGTCACCTCCCCGCAAGGACTAGGCAGGATTTAGTAAGCATCCAGGATTCCTGCTTGAGAAACTCTGGAGATGACAAATAAAAACTAGCAAGAGTCCTATTTATAGGCATGAAAAAATAATTAATTTGTCCCCTTTTAATTGAAAATGTAAAAAGGACTTCAGCTTTAAATAAGACATTTTGTACAAAGCTTGAGCACAAAAAAGTGAACACCAACGTGTCATTATGTAAACACCACAAATGTTACTCATTTGTTCAGTAATGCACAGAACACCGTGCAAGTTCCCTTTCCAGTGGATTAGATTTCTGTAGCTGTTCCCCTCCCACCCCTCAGATCTTACTGGAATACAGGAAACCCAGAAGCTTTGGAACATTTACAAAGCTACAGTAGTCAGGATACATTGTGACTAAAGGATTTTTTTTTCTTTAAGGGATTGGTCATTTAAATATACAGAAGTACAATAATCTCACAGGTAAATGAATGGCAGCTTGGATTAGAAAAAGCACCAAAATATTTAATATACATCTGGCACAAATTCCACAAGAAGTCAGTAATGGACAAACCAATGCTTTGCTTATAAGAAAAGAAAAACCTCAGACTGCACTTAATGCTCTTCTTCCAAAAGGGACACGACAAAAACATTGCACTCAGGATTGCTATCAAGTAAAGACGACCTTCTTATTACAACCTATTTGCATTGTGCCTTAGATCGCACATTCTATAAGATGCTGTTTCCATTCTGTTCCAGACAACAATGGTGAGCAAAATGGTAAAACTACAAACCAAATGGGACTCAGTAGATGCATCATCTTGAATTTCTCCCACTTTTCCTCTAGATCACAGTTTCAAATTTGGCCACGTCCCTTTAAAAAAAGATCCTACAGGAAACAGAATTTACTCCAGCCATTTTCAAGCATTACATTTCCACAGCACTTCTGATACTGCTGCCCGAAAGAGGAAGCACCGGTCTGTTCCAAGACAAGCAATACATTCATTGTTTCCCAGAGCAAGAAAATTGGATCATACATGGTTATCTCTTGGGTAAGTCCGAAAAGGCAAAAACCACTCCTGACACAAAGAACGGCAGATTCGATCCTATCCACCCTTGCTGGTTTTCTGAGGAACTGAGAGATTGATCAGCTAGTTGTATTCACACGTGAGTCAATGAAAGCCACACGAAGGTGTGCTCTCATTATTTCCTTAGAATTTGTTACTTCTCTGGGAGCACACGCTTATCAAAATGCATTCCTTCCATAAAGGGCAACTTGAGGCTAAACTGGGGCCTCAAGATCCACAAGCAAGTACTCCAAGAAATCCAGCTGGGTCAACTAGCTCTCCCAGGCTGACCCTTCTCCTCCACGCAGCCTGTCAAGGACTTGCAGTTGCTTCATGCCCTCGAGACCAGCCAGTACAAACCCCAGTTGCGTTGGGTCAGGACCTGATCCTGCCAAGTTGCATCCACGGCTCTTGGAACTCGAGTCACTCGGCAACTGAGTGACTCCAACTCCAACCACTCCTGCCAGCCCATCTCCTTTTTTTAAAGACTATTTTAACTTACAGATAAGAAAGCAAGCATATTTTTAAGATAACTGTTTAGTGTGACTTAAAAAGTCACAACTTCAAAATATTAAGCACTACTCTGTGAAGTCCTCTAACGTGTAATACATATGGGAGTATAAAAACAGCAGCCAGCCTTCAGCTCCACTGATCCTCTGTGCAGGTTTGCCACCTCTGGTCACACGATCTCCCCACTCATGGGCCCAGAGAAGAGCAAGAGTCAGCAGTTGTAACTGCATAAAATGGCGACATTCAAGTAAACACACTGCTTCAACAGTAGGCAACCTTTAGTCCAAATATAATTTACGGGGGGGGGGGGGAAGCACTTTACAGCAAGAACATTGGAGACAGATGTTTTTTTCTGTCCGTGTGTGAAATGACATGTTATCCGGAAAGGGCTTATCTGAAGAGTGCAATTACGCAAAGATAGAAGCTTTTTAAAAATAAAAAAATGGTATAACCTCCAGAACCTGTTGGATTTTAAAACCTAACTACAGAAAGACTGAAGATTGCAACAGTAGCAAGGAACCACTGTAAGGTCAGTGATTTAAGGCAAGCTGTTAGCAGGACTAGTACGTTCATGCTCCTCTTACCTATTGCCTCACACGTCCCCCCCGTCCTCTTGAAATATGTGCCCTACAGATAGTGCAAGAGGCCACACCCCAAAAGCAGCCCTCAAACTGGAAGAAGAATCTTGTAGCAACAGTTGCTACAGCATAACATCTATTTGCAATTTGCAATGACAGTAACTGTGTTGTAGTTTTCTTTGGGGAAGGAAAGAAAGGGACACAGATGTGTTGCATGAAAAAGAGACACCACCTAAATGCATTCATGAATACAACTGAGCACGGAAGCCACTCTGGCATCCCCAGTACACTTGAGAATGCTCCAGCTTTGCTCAAGCGTAAGGGTTTTATCCTGAGCCAAGATTCTGACCTCAGGGAGGAAAAGGACATGTGTAGCCTTTACACTTTTGCAGCTCCAATCTTTGCTGGGTGTTACAGGTCCAGTCCAACAGGGAAAACACAGTATTTTTAATCAAAATACACTCATGGCACTGCATCAGGTGGGTTCCTAAAGTTTTTCAAGGGCAAATGAAAAGCTGATGACTCCCTTTTGGGGAGCAGCTGCTCCATCTTCAATTTATTGTCAGTACAAGTAGCCTGACCAGGGAAGAGGATGTGTGATGATAAAAGCCCCTGAGCCATGTGCAATGTAGCTCTAGTAGGTTACTCTATTGCACTCCCAAACTAGCACCCAGGGGGACCGACACTTTTGTTTGCAGCTTGACTTGGCTCCCTTTCAAAGGGTCAATTGCATGCAGATTAAAAGCAGTATACCAAAAAGTATGGCAAATAGATAATACTTAACTTGGGTCAATTAAAAAAAATAGATTACTTATCCAGGCATAAAATCCTGGGAGAAAAGGATAGTAACCTTAAACTATTCAAGTCTAAGAAAAAGAGGTAGAGATACCTATGTACTTCATGGTGAAGGAGTTACAGCCTTCTGTCTTACAATTTCATGTGTTTCACTTCAGTTGGCAATATAAAACCAAAGATTCAATCTTCAATAGTCCAGAGAGAAAATGTTAACACTGGTGGTTTTGTTTGCACACGACAAAATTGAAGCAGACACTTAGCTTTCAATACTTATTTGAAAAAATATTTATGTTTTGTTGTATATTGAAACACTACCCTGAAAAATTTTGAGTTTCAGGTTAAGCATCTTCCTTTTTAATATGAAAAGGTAAATTCACATGCACACATTTCGAGCAGAATGAGCTCAAGGGAAGAACCGGGTGCCCAATTTACTGAGGATCTTCTAAAAAAGGATCACACTGCAGAACACAAGGCTGCAAGACCCAGAAACTCACAATAACTATTATTTCCCAATGAATGGGAATGATGTAACCTCAGCCAGCAAATTACATCATGATCGAGGTGGCTATTAACTACGTGGTGTTTCTTTAACTTTGGTGGGCTTTTTTTTGGAAACAAGGCTTAGAACTGTAAGGAAGATACTTAAGTGTCATGAAAATACTAAGGTCACTAGTCAGTGCACAGCCATGTCTGGGAACCACAGGTGACAGGCTAGTCCTGGGATCCATGGGTTCTTCAGGCTCTGACAGACATGCAAAGAGTGAAGTAAAAGTCACACAGGCAAAGCTGCTGCTGTCCCCAGCACTTTGAACCCTGCACCTGACAGCTGCCCTGCCCTCAGGAAAAGGGGCTGCATCTATTTGCAACCAACCCCAAGTCACTCGCTCGTCAGCAGAGCTCTTAAATGTGCTTGGCTGAAAAGCTGTAGTGGTTCAGAGGCTGATTCATGAGCAGATCTGCCCTGCCAGCCTGGGGAAGGCAGCGCTTGGCAGACCAAACTGCCACAGGCTTCAGCTGTCTGATTTTATGCCACCTGCCCCACCTTCATTTATTTTTCCTGTGGTTCTTTCATACGATTGCACAGTATTAAAAAGCTATAATTCTCCATATAGAATAGCACCAGCAGCAAGTAAACTCACAATTCAGCGTTCAATTTTAATTAATTTCCTCGGTCATGTTTTATGGCCGGCTATGGGCAGAATCTTTCAAATCCTTACTTGAATCAATAAATAGTCTTTGACCTCAGAAATGCACCCACACAAGTAAAAATTAGCACAAGTAAGCCTCCAGTTGATCTGGGAGCCAAATTTTAAAGGTGTTGCAAACTATAATATGGCGCAGGTGGTCAGTGTTTTATTACTAGGGACTAAAGTTTACAGGAGTTGTATTTCTTTGCGTATAAGGGAAGGCAATAAAATGCCACAGAGTGTGGATGTCAGACCAGTTTTCCAGTATATTACTATAACTATCTATATAGTTTTCTATAGTTATTTATCTCAAGTTGCAGCAGATTCACTACATGCATAAAGTTTTCTAATGCATACTCTAATTAAAAAAAAATTAAATAGCTGCAATGGTTTCAAGGATTTCATCAGCATCACTGCTCACTACAGTGCTGTGCCCTATACAATAAAGATTTAAATTATATAAAAATGAAAGCGTGAATGTATTTGGCCTGTTCCACAGATATTCACAGTTTAACTATTAAACAAGCATATTTTCAGAGGCTCCGGTATTGTTAAAGACTTCTCACAAACATGTACAAACCCCCACTCCCACACAGGTACACCAGCATTACAGAGTACGGTCTATTCTCGTTTAGGATCATAAAATCACCAGACAATCCAAGGGAAGGTCTGACACCCTCTCTCACTTTCAGCACTGCCAAAGAATTGCACCTTCAGCTCCCGGTTCAGGAGTTTAAAACTGATACAGGTCTGGTTGGCATTCTGTAAATGGTAATTAAAAAAAAAAAGTTAGGCTAAAAATAAATGGTACTTTGCTAGATATATCATTTGGCTATTTTTGCAGGTATTCTACCCAATGGATGGAGTTGCTTCTGCTAGGCTGAAAGCAGCAGAACAAGAGCAAGGCTGTCCTCTTGTACTGAAAGCATGGGACTTCAGCCACTGAGAATCCTATGTCCTTTCCCTAACAGGAAATAAGATTTTCCATTCCTGTATATTCACCACCACCACCTTTAAAAAGAAGCTGTATTACGTTTGATACACTAAAACGGCTAAGCCTTGATGTGCTACGGGTTGATTTTCTTACTGCTATCCACATTCAGACCACTAGATAAACACCTTCCTTAAAGAGCTCTATCCCTCATCCTTTGGAACTGCTGCAGTTTAGCATATTAATCAGTAGCAGCCACTGCCACAATTTTGAATATCCGTTTGAATAGTTTTCACACTCTGGACATTTTAAATTCCCTTTAGGAAAAAAAAAATGAAGTGATGAACAAAGCATTTAATAGCTGAATGAATGAGTAGTCTCAAAATTATAAATACAGTCTTCATTTGCTATCAAATCAGTCTCCACTTGGAACTTTCACTAACAAAGCAGCCTCTGCTGGGGAATTTTTTTTTTCTTTTTTTAAATTAACAGCACCAGCAAAAGTCTCACCATAAATTCAGTTATACCAGCACAAGTGCTTTGGCCTGCTTTGCTCACCAAATCAGAATAAGGTTTTGCTGCCAAACAGTGCTTGTGCCACAGTAGCTTGGAAGGTTATAGTAGCAAGAACAAAGCTTTGGGTGTATTTACCTGTAATAGAGCAAGTTCTGGGCTCCCCTCCTGCAAAGGGACAGGCTCGGCTGCATCTATAACAACTACATTTGTCTTCCACAGCTTAACAGGTCTCCCAGCAAAAGCTTGCAGAAGCAGCATGGACCAAACACTCCTTTTATTAGATGAAAGAGATGCTATCTGTGGCTTGTGGGTTTGTTTTTAAACAGTTTTCAATACCCACATTTTGTTAGTGATTTATGATCTCAGACCCAAGCTATTGCATAGGCTGCACACCAGCAAAGCCAGTGACGCAATTCAGGCAGATCCTCCTCCTCTCTCTGCTAACTCCCCTCAGGCACAGCAGATGTGCAAAGCATGCCATCCTGGATCCAGTGACAAGCTTGCCACTTAAAATCTGTTTCCCTTTAGCTTTAAAACCCTTATATCACCAAAGCCATTAGATGATACGGATGACTGTCCAGGGGTTTTTTTTTTTCCATTTGTTTTGGTTTGTGGGGTTTTTTTTTAATTGAGGCTATTTTATGATCCTGAAATGCAGCTCTGAAAAGAAAAGGTGTGTAATGGAAGTGTATCAAATTCATTAAGCCAGTACTTAGCTCTATAGAAAGCCTTGGCAATCATCCCTTTTACCAAAAGGTGTAAAAAGTTGACATAGTAAAATTAAAAAAGGTATCATCAATAACCAAAAAAGTTTCAACCAGTGTTAATAAAACTCCCTTTAAGTCACAACAGTTTCAACAGGCAAATAGTCCCAATACAGGCATTGTAAAATAATAAATTGACTCCTATCCAAATATTATCAAATCAGTCTAAAAATGACTCATCTACACTGTTGTCATTAAGAACACATTAAGAATTCACTTTGTCATCAGATGCCGATATTGTTGCTCCAGAAAGTGTGGAGTATTAACTGCGATTTAGCAATTAAACATAGGTTTTAAAAAATTGGTTTGTCAATATTAATGCAAAAGATAGTTCCTTATATAGAAGTACTGTGCTTGCCAGACAAGTAAGATAATACTTTAGGTATAAATCAAACAAATTAAAGCAGAATTATACCACAGTTTTCCTTGAAGACTTAGGGTTTGTGTGTTGCTTCTGTCAATGTTTAGCAAACTTAAGAAGCAGAACCTTTGGTTCTTTTAGTCAAGTAAAAATGTTCTCATGTAACCACAAAAATACAACTTCCAGAGAAAATGGAAGTCCATCAAGAAGTCCACTTTCAATAAAACTGAGGTAGTACTGCTCTTTTATTACATGATGTGTAAGAGATTTAGATACAAATCATCATCTACCACTCAGTTGACTGACAGGTACAGTAATTTTATAAAACAACCCCAACATTTAGTTTGAAACTCCAAAAAAAGGAATGATCTGGACTCATTCACTAAGAGTTAGCTTAAGATGGGAATTAGCCATATTACAAAAAGCTGTTGCTTACGTTGTTTTTTAGAGCCTTATTACTTGGGAATTAATGCATTTATAGTTAACAGTTAACACTGCTGTTCATCTTGGTATAAAACCTTAAAATTATTACAGCCTAAAATTTCAACAATGTAAACAGCACTACACACAGTACAGACCTGCCCTGACAGATGTAGTATGAAAAACTTAATCTGGCACTGTATAATTTAGCAATGTTAATTTAACCTAACTAAAAAGATCTACATTGTGCAAGAAATATCAGACTTACTTATACTAATCTGAAGTCTTAAAAAAAAAAAAAAAACCAACAACAAAAAAAACCAACCACGCTTAACTTGTAGCCAGGGTCAAATATTTCAGGGCAAGAGTAAAAGGAATAACCAAAATTAAGAAAGTGCCTAAAACATGATACAGCATTTTAGAGCCCTTTCAAAGACAAGGCAGAAAAAGGTGTAAAGTAGAAAAATCTGGAGCCTCGGTAATTTCCAGAAACATCCAGAGTTTACATTTCATGAAGGGCAACAGGTTGCTTTTGTCACTGCTGCTTCGACGCCGCTAAGTCTGTTCCTCCGCACACAGGCCCTCTGTGTCCGAAGACGTAATACATTTGGTTTCCTCTTCCTTTTTCCTTCGCTCCATTTCCCACTCCACAAAGGTATCGAAGAGACTCGGCCAGGCCTCGTCCTCGCTGTAGTTGCTAAGGTCCGGTCCAATCACCTGAGTAAAATTTAGAAACATGTTCCATGTGTCCCGGGAGATTCCCTTGATTCCTGAGGGGTTCTCGATTAGGAAGTGTAACCACTGGTCCAAAATGGGGGGCTTGTTTTGGGTGAAGACTAATTTCCAAAGGGCAATGGCTATTTCCCGATGTAGCGACCTCTGTCCTTCTTCAGAGTCCAGGCCGAACTGGAAGGTGAAACGATAGAGATCCTTGAATTTATCTTCCTGCTTGGCTTCATTTAAGAGGCTGGGGAACCTTGCACAAATACCGTCAATGCTGTCTGCGTTTATTGCTTTGCAGCCTTCAAAAAACTCCTTCCTATTAAGCAAGAGAAGATAAATTAGTGTTAGCACTTCCCACTGACTTCATGCGCTGAATGCTTCCCATCTCTGTTCAGCTATGTCAAATTGGAAGAAGGTTATTTGGACAAGACAAGGTATACTCTCAGCCCAGGTGGCACAAAGATTTTCACAACAGGAGCTACAGGAAAGAGAGACATTTCCAAGAAGTTCCTCATATCCTGAGGAACCACATGTACCCCTCAGATCTGCTGGGGCACTGTTAGCATTTGAAAGATTTTGCTGTCTGGCTTTCTGACTACTCGATACTACCACATCCAGTGCCTTTCACATTAAAAAGTGAATAAAAAATTCACCACAGAAGAAATGCCAAATGTTTGAAAACACCACATTTACACACTGAAGCACCATATATAAGCCAGCTTGATTCAATATTGCCCACGTCTAAACACCCATGCTCTGGGCAAGCTGTTCTCAAGGGACAGAGCAGTTCACATGGCTCTCCTGTAGTTTTTGATTGCTCTTCCAGCCTGCAAAATAAAAAGGGTGCCAACGGCAACGGTCAGCAAGGCACCTGCCGAGAGAGTGGAAGAGAGCATGGCATCACACAACACAGGCTACAATGCCACATATAAACACTGCTCAAAGCACCAGTCCTATACTAATTAGCCTACTAATAATCTGGCCAAGTGGGTAGATGGTTAGCTCTGATTTCTCTGAGCCTCATAAGCATGTGTTATAAACCAGCCAATGTTAACCAAAGCCAGCAGACTCTGACGTGGGATGGGCTGGAGGGAAGACAGAAGACAGGAGAGCACTCAGGAGAACGGAAGACCGCATCGCTTTCCTTGATGGAAGAAGTCAATCAGCACCCGTATCATGGAGCATGCCCTTAAACAAAGGTAACCTCTCACCACTACGTTTGTCCTCTCCAAGAAAATCAAAACGACATTAATAAAACTCATGGTGGTTGTGCAGAATCACAAATGCTACTTGCAATTCCTTTACCATGTTAGTAAATACCTGCACCATCAGCCTCTAGTAAATCCACATTTGCATTCCAGAGTAACTCATCCATTTGACACACACCCACATCCACAAAGACTCTGAAGCTGCTGGAGCAGATGCTTGGTTCAGGGCTCAGTAAAAATAGGTAGCATTACTCAAACCAATGTAGATAGACCAAAAAATAAAAAATTAATTCTCTCTCAGCAAGTCCCTGTAGGAAGTCTTTACTTGCTCTTACCTGGACACTGATAATCAAGTTGGGGGGGGGTGGGGTGGGGTGGGGGGTGCTGTTGTAGTTTTGGATTTGTTTGTTTGTTCTGGTAAGTTTTAGCTGTTCTGTTGATTCCTGTAGCATCACACATGCTATAAGCCTGTACACTGACCCCTTTGTCCAGAAGGACAGACAGCACTTCAAATACCAATCACTTGTCAGCCTGTATGAAACAGTACCAGTGTCAAAAACCTTGTGTTTCCTTCCCTCTCTATGCTTTAACAGGATTACTCTTGGAAAAAGACATTAAGTAGTAACACTGGTTAGGCAGGAACAATTCTTAGGAAGCAGTCCGTCATTCCTTCACAGAACGATAACAGAGTTGGTAGCAATTACTAAGGAATCTCACATTACTTTAAAGTGAAAATTAATTTCAGTGTCCAATCTCATCACCAAGATAATGCTGGATGCAGTAAAACTGTTTTCAGTAAATGAAGAATAAATGAATGTCTACAGAATCTCACTACGCTGTTCATCATTAGCAGCACAATGTCCAAAACCACATTTTCGGTTCTGAAACCCACTGTGAGGGGAAGAGGAAAAGAGGGCAATACAGAGCTTACCTTCTGCAGTGGTAGGAATTAATTTGATCAAAATGCAAGTGTTAGAAGAAATAAGTAAGTGAAGCTAATGAGGCTGTCTCTCCAACATACAGATGACACGATATACTTTAACATATGAAAATAATTACAAGTTCTACAAGAACTAACCTTGTAAATTTGCACATGGTAGCAGCCTGGAATTTCCAAGCCAAAACTAGCACTTTAAATTCAGTGGGATCAACACAGAGGTCATTGCAAAATCGTTCCATTCCTTCTTCCAGTATGGCATCTTCCCGTTCATCCTTATACCTCCTAAATAACTCCCCGATCCTTTGGAGCGAAGATTCTTCTGCGCTGGAAACACAGTCTTTCTTTGTATCTCCAGAAAACGTCGGAGGCTGACTAGACTCTATAGCAGCGTCCGTTTTCTTTGTCCCATTCACAAGTATATCTCCTGAAGATTTCCCGCAAGCTGAACCATGGTCGTCTTTGTGGACTGCACTTCTCTTACTATGAGACTTGCTGCCAGATTCCCTTTCCCCATTTTTGCTGCCAAGGGTAGAAGAAGGATTCTTGCACTTCGTGACACACTGGCCCATGATGTTGCAAGCCCAGCCTCTAGAGCGGTCCCCTTGCTGTCGGACACCCTCGCAGCTGCTCTTCAACACATCTCACCATGCCATTAGTGGCAGTCAACTAACCTGGAAAACAGTTTCAGAGTCAAATTGCTGTTTCTCCACAAAGAATATTGTAAGTATCAAATGTGGGATAACATTCGCCAGTAAGAGACTGACTTCAGGATATTTAAGTTTTGCGTACTGAAAAGGAGTAGTGTACAGAAGGTTGGCATATGCCATAAATTTCAGGCAATTTCAGGCTGTTTTACCTAGAAATCAATGCAGCTCACTCAGTGGCTGCAGTATACTAACGGGTCCTAATAAAGGAAATTCCTAAAATTCTTACTGTAACATAGGTTACAAAGAGGTTGATTCATGTACAGGCTTCATCAAGACAGACTACTCTAACCCAGAAATATTTTAAAGGAAATGGTTTTTAAAAGTATACCCACATTTTATATATAGAATATAAAACACTGAAACAAAGCAGTGGGGGGACGGACAGACGGGGACACTGATGGGACAACCTGGCAGAGACTCAAGCTTAGATTTAGACTGTACCTTCAGCAAATGGGCAAAAGGGGTTGGGGGGGGGGGGGGTGTGGGT